GGCACTTTAACACATATTTTGGTTCAAGAGAGAGCACTTTAGCACATGCTTTGGCTCCAGAGAGGGATCTTTAACACTTATTTTGGCTCCAGAGAGGGCACTTTAACACATATTTTGGTTCAAGAGAGAGCACTTTAGCACATGCTTTGGCTCCAGAGAGGGATCTTTAACACTTATTGTGGTTCAAAAGAGGGAACGTAGCACACACTTTGGCTCCAGAGAGGGCACTTGTTTCTTAAAAGATTTCCCTCAAATTTATGTGATAATGAACAGAATAAAATTAAAACATCTCCATGAGAAAACGTCCAAAAACCTCGAGACCAGCATAAAGAATTAGAATCAGAATCAGAAATACTTTAATAATCCCAGAGGGAAATTACTTTTGTTACACGCACCAGTTACAGTTTTACATGATATATACACACATCAAACTATACAATATAATAAAGATAAAAAATAAGAATTAAAAAGAGATAAAATATATACACATATAACTCTTCTGTATATATATACATATATCTAGGCATATGTAAAAACGAAATCCAAATAAAGTGAAAAGTCCAAGTGATAAATCCAAGTAAAGTGATACGTGGCGTGCAAAAAATAGTGCATAAATGTCAATTACATGTTATTCTTGGAACTATACTTTTTTCTTAATAGAGACAAAAAAACAGAATAGTTTGCTTGGGTACTATTAGTACTGAGCCTTATTTAAATGCGTCCTTGAAGCAACCCACCAACAAAGCAAGTGTCATGTTGGGTCTAAGGAGCTCAACCCAAATGCAGAACACCATGGAAACAGACTAAAAGTTAACAAATGTTTATTGAGAGATTCACACAATAAAGTTATTTGCACTGATACTGGAACGGGTCCGGGACTGGAAACACAGGGCTCTCTGCAGAGAGGGACAGTTTGATTAGCCAAGTAGCTGAGGAGTCTTGACAGAACTTGTAACTGATCTGTACCTGATGGTAGTTCAGACTGAGCGTTGGAGAGAGGGAACCAGAAGGGTCCAGAGACTGAGGGTTCAGCAGAGGGTTTAGCAGCGACAG